TGTGAAATTCTCTGCAGGAGGGTCCTTAATCTGGAGTCCACAGCTAAGTTTTCTATGACCACACCCATTACATATAATGCAATTATTGTGTTATAGAAATGTGATTATACACCTGAACCTACAGAAGAAATAGGTACTCAAAGACAGTAACTCAAGAATCAAAACCTTTTAAGTAGATACAGATTCAGGAAAACCTATAACACAAAAAGTTGAAATTTTATTCATATTAGCAAAAGAATCTTTATTTTAACAGTATTCACCTAAACTGTATAGACTTTGAAAATCAAATGTAATTTAAATAAGATTTTAGTTTTTAAATTTGGTCTACAAAGCCACTTTTCAAGAGTGCTCTTCCATTCCCAGCATACATCACATAACTTTTCTCTACTAATGTTATCCTTTGAATAGCTAAAGTCAATTGGGAAAAAAAGCAACCTTTTCCTGCAAATACAGCAAACTGTAAAGTACTCAGGTACTTTTATTCAGAAGGTATTGGTACTTGCTACAATTTAAATTTCCTGCTCTATTAAAATTTTGTTCACATTTTAAAAACTCACATTTGCAAATGTTCCATACAGTTCAAAAAACTCCAAATGTGTGGAAACAGCATTTGCCAACTCAAATTTATACTGTTCTATCAAATTCTGATACTTGTAGACATCTCCACATTTTTTTTAATCTTTCATTTTCCTTTCCTCCAGATCTAGAAGAGAATTAAATAGAAATATTCCCCAGAAAGTCAGAAAAGCATTAACTCATCTGAATGTTTTAAGTTGACTCTATTATTCAAATTTCTTTTAAGAGTAACACCAGAGCATATTACTTGATTTATCCTGTTTTCATAGTTAAATCACTTGCTACAGAGTATTTTAATTTCAACAGAAGACAGAAGTTAAATCAGTAGTCAAAACTAGCTTAATGGTTAGAGATGATTAGACTGACTCAGATAATTTTCAATGCCAAATTAATTTTGCAAGGGTACTCTGGAAACCACAAAAACTCTGGAAACAAAGAGTTATCACCTCAAAAGGTGGCTTATAGCTTATGGAAATGACAAGTCATTCTAAGTCACTCTCACGTCCATAATGAAGATGTATTTAAAAACTTATAAACTTGAGTCTTCAGATCTCCAAAGAACAATTTTTCAACAATTTCTCTTCCTTTGCATTTTACCTCAGTACTTTATAAGTATGCATACTTACATCATTTTATTTGATTCTTAAAATAATCCTACAAGTAAAAGGCAGTAACACTGCTTCCATTTTACTCACAAGAAACTAGGTTCACATACTTACCCACACTTACAGGATCCGAAAACTATAGTTTGATTTTGATGCCACATCTTTTGCCTTTAGACTCCTCTTACAGAGAGTCTCCAATGTAACTTGAACTTTCTCTTTTCCCAAATACATTCCTATATTCACAACCTGTATTTAATTCTTAAAATGTTACTTCATTCAAGAGAATGTGAAAATGGTATGTCAGAGTTTGGATATAAAGAGAATGCGACAGAAAATGTTATGGAGATAAGACAGAAAATTGTTGGTGACTAGCTGTAAACATTAGCATAACAAGTCTTTTAAAAGACTTTTACATTACAACACTGATGAGTAAGAAAGAGTTTTAAGTAAAACTAAATTTCTTAATATTAAAGCAGCCCACACTGCTCGGGAGGAGTCATGTTTTAGTCAGTACAAGAGAGAGCCAGGTCTCTCAAGTCATATATGGAACAATGACTCTCCCAGGGCCTGCACTCACTGCTGTAGGTAAATAAACAATGAGTTGCCTGATGCAGCTATTACTATGAAAACAAAAGATGCTAAATGCTAAATTACCACATAAAAATGTAGGCTATTTTATCAAGAATGAAATATCTTTCTGAACTTTAAAGAATATGTGCTATGGTTTCCTCAAGCAGTAATAATGCAGTTTTCCTAATAAATAGATTAACTCTTATTATATTAAATCTGCCCCAAACCTAAAAGTGCATGCTTAACTTCAATTTATTTCTGCCAATTAAATTTACAAATTATCCTTTTGTTTTCAGGGGGCACACTAAAAGCTATTTTTCTTTTTTATATAAGAAATCCCTGTTACATATAGCTCCCTAGACACTTCTATTTAAAAGATAACTCATCAACATGTAACAAGCTATTTCCTCAAATATAGAATTATATCTTATAAAGGTGTCGACTACAGAGACGATAAGCATCATTTGCATTCCAGCTTCTCCCTCCTTCCCTCCCTAATGTCTATAGCAGTTCAAGACATTTACATCAAATAGGAACTGAATTTTCAACTGAAATGAATAAGTGCAGGGCCTCCCCCGGTGGCGCAGCGGTTGTGCTGGGCTGCAAAGCTGCCGGCTGCCTCAGCGCCGGTGTGATCCCCCGCCACTGGGGAGGGTCCCACATGGTGTGCAGAGCTCTCCTGCCACACCCGCTGCTCCCCTCAGCAGTGCATTTCATCAGTCTGCCTGTTCTGTTCCCTGTTCTGACTCTGGTGAATTCTCTCACCCTCCTGCGCTTCTGACTGTACCCAGTGCTTGTATGAATAAATAAAGAAATCTTTAAAAAAAAAGAAAAGAAAAGAAATGAATAAGTGCAAAAGAAGAGAATATGAAAGAAAGTAGGAATACAGGTTCAAAGGAAGGAGGGATGACTTCAGTGTATTTTCAGCAATTCACTATTTTGTCTCTCACAAGAACATCAGAGTTTCTCGACACTCAGAAAAACCTTCTATGCTTCTACCTAAAATTGAAACAAAAATTTGTAGCATTTAAATAAACTATAGAATGGTCCTTAATAAATGGAACAATATAAAAAAATAAAGTTTATTAACTCATTTAGAAATAAAATTTGTCAAAAGCATGTTTCATAGAAGCGCTTTTGTGCCCCATATCGAATTCAATAAATCTCAGCAATTAATTAGTCATCCTGTAGTAAAGCACTTTTAACACTAAATTTAAGGATCATCCAACTCTAATTCTAAAATTACATTCACAAAGTCCCATTAAGAAATAAGTTTCTTTCAATTACTTACAGTATTTACACAAAATACTTTTAATTCTTTTTTAATTCAGGGGCCAACTGTAGCAAAATATTAAATTCTTCATATAAACGAGCTCATAAAAGTCAAACTGATGGCAGGCTTCAGTGACTATCATATAAGATTCTTTTGGCTAATGTTTAAAGAAATGTTAACTATCGGGGTCACTAAAATTAAATCTAAACATCACATATGAGTACATTTGCATGTTATCACAGACCTGCGCACTCAGGAATTTTTTAATGAGACACCTAAAACAATGAAAACACATAAGCTATGACAAATCCAGACTCAGGAATTCCAAATTCTCTACAACCACAATATACTCTAAAAGCATGCTTGAGTTAAAAAGTAGTTCTGTTGTATAATCTCTTTCTTTAACAAATGAATCACCAATTTAACAACTATGAAATCAGAAAAATCTTTCACCACTAAAAGTGAATTTCTTACTATCAAAGCTAATTACATTAATATTTCTAAAAACCACTTAGAGTACTAATAAGCTGTGTTTCTCCAAAACTGGAAGCTAGTTCAACTGCAACTTTGTCAGTGTGGAAGCCTAAAAACATATGTTGCTATGAATTAGTGGTTTTAAAAGACAATAATTTATGTCTGGAGATATTTAGCATCCAGACCAAAAGGGAGGTAGTTGCTGTCCAGTTCTAAGGTGCTACCCGAGTACCTTCTAGGAAAAAAGCTGTGTACACTTCCTACCAGATAAGAATAACCATTAAGTTACCCCTGAAAAGAATTACCCACTGACATGCAACTTGGAGGCACTGGGTCAAATAACAGTGCCTTCCTACCTCAAACTATTCTTTCCACCTGTTTCAATGCAGAGCCCCAGACAGAGTCCATGAAGTCCAAGATTTCTCTGTCACTGCCACTCAGGAAATTGATTTCACGCAAATCAATGTAAAGCAAATTTACAAAATGCCCACTACGTTTTTAGGGGAGTTGCAATAAGAACAAGTCAAAAAACCTAGTAGACAACGTCCTAGAGTTGCTAAATGGGTTGGAGGAGAAGCTGAGGCCATACCACTCCTGAGAGAGGTGCCTGGCGGTAGAGGGGAGGAAGACAAGGAGGAGCTGACAGAAGAAAGGCATGGAGACAACCTCCCAGAGAGCAGAGAAAGCAGACTGTGTCGCCAGCCCCCTGGAATGAGAAAGGCACTCCTCAGGAAAGTGGGCACCTTCATTCTAACTACTATGGTCCCGTGAACCTTGTGTTTTTCTTCTGCTCTCTCAGGAGGCGCTTTTATGACAGGTCACTGATTTTTCCTTTTATGACAGGTCACTTAATTTTTCCACTGTATAAAGAGTATGTTGGGGGTATTTAAATTCACCATTCATCACAAATGGAATAGGAGAGGAAATAAGAGGTCTGAAAGGACTGTCATTCTGTACTGGAGACAGCAACAACAGGACTTAAGGTCACTGCCCTCTGGAGGAGGAGGTGGTCAGCTGGTTTTTGGTCTCAGGTGGGGTAGTGAAGAGTGACAATGCTCACCACAGGATTCTGTACTTTAAAAGATCACCTCTAACAGAAGTTAAAACAAAAAACAAAAAAACAAAATTTATATCAAGTTTTATCCAAAACTCGGAAAGCTGGTCATCGGGATGAATCCCCTCCTTCCCACCACCAATTTAGTTCATGTTAAAGTACACAAGGGACTGACTGACACTCCATAGCTCACATTCTAGATCATTATTTTCAGTTCTCAAACAACTAAAACAATTGTGACTAAAGTGATTCTGCTCTTTAAAAAAAAAGCCTCTAATTAATGAACATGCAAAGTCTGCTGAAGAGCAGGAAAACTAAAAAACTATGTGTAGTTGTGTTCAAGCAGTGAATGCATTTTGTTTCTACCATATCAGAAGAACAGCAATTAACCCACACATGGAAGGTTACAGACATTGTGCTTTAGGTGAAGAGCTCCATATTTTCATACCATTTTTGTAAGTAGTCCAGTGCCTCCAAACGAGCACCAATCTCAAAAGTGATTCCAGGACGATTTGGGGGCTTTTTACTCATCTTGAGATCCTATTCTTCAGTAATTTCTTTTCACTACCTCAAGAGGGAAAAAAAAAAAAAAAAGTTAGATTCTAATGCATAAAATGCATAGGGAATTAAACAAAATTTTAAAACATTACACAAGAAGTTAAAACAAATGCCAAATTTTGAATGAGAACCGGTATCTTTAAGCAAAGTACTGTGCAACTGGTAGGCAATCTTGATAATGAATTATGAAAAAGGACATAAAAAAGATTACTATTTAAGAAAAAATGAATAGATGGAACATCACAACTTGCCAATGACTCAAATGCTTTAAATTTTAATTTGAAAATACCCAAGAAAATTCTCTACAATACAGCTGATGTTTTCTATCTTTGAAAAATCAAGACAGCTGAGTATTCTGGAATATGACTACTGAAATTCTTATGTGAACATATTAATCATGCTTTTAAACAAATATTTACTGAATGCCTCATAATATAAAACACTAGAAAAGACACTGAAGAGTCCACAAAGCGGGAGCAGTAGACATATGTGCTCCTCTGCCAGTGAAAATTTTAAGAAGCTCCTTGTGATTTGGATCTTTCATTATTCCTATGATCTCCCATTATGGTAACAAATGATTTAGTAGTTTAAATTTTACATACAAAGTTGCAATTTTTTTTCTTTATGCTTCACATTCAATAAGCAACAATGATAGATTTTTGTAATTCTGAGAAGTATTTGTATTATACTCACTCCAGACAGTACACACATTGATAATGAAAGTGGTTGTAACACTAAACAAACGAACAAAAAACTAACTAGGAAGACTCCCATCCAGATGAGGGACTGGTGGACTATTTACTATTCTTCTGGCCACACTGGCCACCCAGAATACTTGGCAGTAGCCTCTTTTTCACTAACTAGTACTTATGGTCCAATTGCAGCATAACAGGTAATCAGGAATTCAAACCTACTGTTACTGGGGAAGCAGAGGGATCCTTAAGACCTTTTTGATGTTTAAAATTACTAACAATGACTATATTCCCTCCCAGTTTAAAAAAAAAAGAAAAGACAACTGTCATCTTTTAATGGTTTGATCACAATTCAAAGGCGACAACATATAAAAGCAAACACAAAGTACCAACTGTCCCTTTCCTCTTGGAAAGAACTTGATAAGAGAAAAAAGGAGCACCCCCGTTCTTGCCCTGAAAATTTGTAAAATCAAAAGTAAACATTCCCAGTGGGCTGGGAGTGGGAGTAAACATCTTTCTATGCTGGCAGCAGTGACATTAGTGCGTTAATAAGTTAACAGAAAGGTCTGTTAGAGTACTTTGGTTGAAAAACAATGTAAGTCTGATTAATTTTAACAGAGGCCTGGTCAGGGTGAGACATTACTTCCATCTTTTATGTAGAAATCCCAGCAGCCGTTTTGTGCTGTTTTCACCAAAAATAAACAAATAAACAAATAACTTCCTACGGAGGTAGTTCACGAGCTGCACCAACATGTTCTGGAAGTAAACTCAGAACCCCTAAGTGATGACAGAGTGAAGACGCACAGGCCCCGGGGATACTTGCAGACGAGGTACCAGAAAAGGCAAGCTTTCCTTTTTCTGGAGTGGAGAGGGCAGGATGGAGAGGGATTTCGATGAAGGAAAAGTACGACCCAGGGAGGCAGGCTATTGGACGGAAGAGAAGCGTGAAGCCCAGGCGAGCGGGTGGCGAGGAGTCAGCCCAGGAAGGCGGGCGAGAGGAGGCAGAACAACGGGCACAGCGGGAGAGAGTTGTGGGAGCGACGGGGCGAGAGGGGGCACCCCCGCAAGAGAGAGGCCCCCCCGGGAGTGACGCCGCGGGCAGAGCACGGCCACGGGGGCCCCCCCAAAAAAATCCAAAAGGCGGCGGCGGCGCGCGGCGGGGGGCGGGGGCAGGAAGGCGCGGGCCGGCGGGGCGCGGAGCCGGGTTTGACAGCGCCGGCCGCGGGGGGAGGGGAGCGCGGCGCCCAGACAATAGGGGCGGCCGGCCGGGGAGGGCGCGGGGGGAGCGGGCCGAGAGCGACGCCGGGCGGGGCGCCCGGGAGGCCGGCGGGGCCAGGCGCCCTCGGGCCCCGCGCCGCCTCTTACCGACTCGGCCTCCTCCGCACAGCAGTCGGGCCGTCCGGGGCCGCGCGGGGCACGAGCAGGCGGCCCGCCCGGGCCTCCGCCGCCGCCGCCTCTGCCCGGGCAGCGGCCGGGGAGGGAGCAGGAGCGGCGCGCGTCGGGGCCGCAGCGCCGGGTCGGCCCGAGGTCGCGCGGGAGGGAGCGGCGCCGAGCCCTCAAGCCCGCTCGGGGTCCGCTGCCATCGCCGCCGCCGCCGGACACCCCTGACGCGACGCCGGACCCCGGCGACGTCAGCCGCCCGCGACGCGCCGGAAGCGGGCCCGGCGCGTCACGTGACCCGGAGGGCTGGGCCCGGCCGGCGCAGCTGATTGGCGGAGCGGCCCGGGAGGCGGGGCGGGGGACTGTGGGCTGGCGCCGGGTTGGGGGTGGGGGAGGAGGCCTGGGGGGCGGGGAGAGACCGTGGGGGTGGTGGGCAAGAAATGTCAGCTCTGGCGCCCACTGGCCGCTGTGAAGCGTTTGACCTTTGAGAGGCTGAGGACGGGCGTGGAGTGCTCTTGTGGACGGGTTGGGGAGCAGGTTCCCCAAACTCATCCCCGCAGCCTGGGCACGCCTGGGAATGGCTCCCTGAGATGCCAGCAAGTGGGCACCGCCATAAAGTCAGTAAAGCGCTGTTAAGTAGTTACTTTCTGGCAGGGACTGGGCTGCAAGTACTTCGCGAGACAAGCAGGCACCCCATTGTGTTGCTCTCCACAGTCTAGGACAGCCTTAGAATGCAGAGGCAGGTATTACTAAGGGGCGTGTGTGTGAGTGTGTGAGTGTGTGTGCACAACTGGAAAACCTATGGTTAAATTGATGTCATTTCCACAAACTACACAACCAATCACAGCAGAACTATTTTCTTGAATACGGACGAAGTCTGAACTCTACTAGACACCGGAGAAAGTGTTGCCACTGTCAGGGAAGGTAACAATCGATATTGAGGGAAAGCAATAGAAAGATGAAGCTTCTTTTTCTGTCTCTTTCCACTGGACCACCCTGGTGCTCAAGCTTTCTAAATGCAACATTGTATACAAATAATGTTTATCATGATTTATACAGTGTGAAGTTAAAATTAAAAAGTATCTCTCCTATCTGTCCTTAAGCTTCAATTATAGTGAGACTAGGTTCTTTAACCCACCATATCCATATCCTTTTATTCACCAGATTTTCACACAGCAGAGTATGTTACTCTTAGCTACTAAGCTAGACTGAACATGGCGGTGTATAGAAAACATATAAATAAAACAGTCTCTAGTGGACGTTTGTCTTCTTGTTTTATGGTTGCCCAACATCTGTTTCCATTTTGGGGAAATTTTCCATCATGCTTGTCATTAATTCACACTATGTAGTTCCAGAGTCTTCTGGATACATGTGGATACATGGCAGAACCAAACTTTCCACCCTTCTTAGAATTAGATGTGGCCATTTAATTTGCTTTGGCTAATAAAATGAGATTGAGAGTGAACTTTATCATGGTCAGCTGGCAATTTAAAAAGCCAATCTATCAAACTTTCTTCTCTGACCCAGTGAAAAGCAATTTTTCACATGGCGGCTGCTCAAATAACCCAGATTCTGCACAGATTATGATTGCTGCATCCACTGCTAATCTACAATTCACGTAGTACAGGGAGGAAAATAACTATTTTTTTTTTAAACTAGTGACATTTTGAGGGTTGTTTGCTACACAGCATAACATAACACAAACTGACACATACACCTACCTTGTGGGTCTTGGAGGTAGAGTCAGGTAAAATAAAATGAAAATGTCAGAAATTCATGTTCCCAGTCTCCCTTACCACTAAAGTATTGTTTTCACCTATGCTAATTAGATGCTCATCAAGGATGCTATATCAGAAGCTGCTTAGTGATGTTGCAAAATAAGAAAATTTTTCTCCAGCATCAGTAGCCTTACCAGTGATGGTAATTCTGACTTTTAGCCAAGTTAACTGAACCCAGCAGAAACCCTGCTGTCCCACAAGCTGTAAGTGAGAAAATGAGTATATAGATATGGCTATATAGATAAAAATCTTTTATTTATTGTTATACATTATTGAAATTTTGAAGTTATCATTTAAATAAATTACAAAGGATATATAAACTATAACACAGATTATAACCTCTCACTGTTTATTGAGAATCCACCAGTTTCCCTAAATAGATTTTCCTTCCATTTTAATTGGGATTTATCAAGATCCTCCAATAATATGACTTAAACAGAAAAAAAAGGAATTAATCTCTAAATAATTCCAGATTTGAGTGGCTTGCTTTGGTGAGTGTTCCCCATGCATTAATAACTTCTCCTAGAGGACACTGGGCAGAGGGCGAGTAGGGGACTAATTTCGGTAGTCACATGATTGAGGGAGAGCTCAGCTGAGATTTAGAGGGGAGGACCAGAGCTGTTCTACATTTTGAAATGTACAGTGCAGTTGCAGACCTTCAAGAATTGCTAGAATTATGCTTGACTTTTGAATGTCCCTCCACATATTCCTGCAGGTGAAACATCTATAGGGATCTGGGTCTAGAACTCAACTTTATAAATAAATACACTAGTTTTGCAAGGCTTTAATATACACTCAGTTTTCCAGGAATCAAGCAATTATGGGGAAAGGTATTTCTCTTTTATGTATCTCCAAGAATTAAATCTATAGTTTTAATGTCACCAACAGCAAAGCAACTCTTAATATTTGAGCCACTGGTATAGGACATCTGTATCACTCTGCATCTGTAGCTGTTATAGTCAGGGTAAACCTAAAATTAGCTGACACACGTGGCTATTTTGTCTCTGTGAGTTATGACTAACCATTTATGTTTTGAAAAAATGTTATTTACTTGAACTAATTCTATAGTTTTTTTCTTACATTATTGTGTCATTACATTGATTTTTAAAATGTGTATCTTGATCATATTATCTATGAATTTAATATCAGAAAAGTAAAGAGGATGTTACATAATATCAAGTTTTAAAAAGGAATATTGAATCTTATAAAGTTAATGGAAAACTGACACAAGATCTTACTGTCTCTTTTGACTATCAAGAGTCAAAGTTCAGGATCAGAGAAAGAATGACTGAAAGAGAGCAGAGAGATGATTCTCTAGCCATACAGTGAAACTGTGCATTTCTGTGTCCCCTCGACTCTTCCACCCAACACACCCCTCATCCAGCTGGTTCATGTTAGCCATCAGTCATCCCATCTCCAAATATAGAAAGAAAGAACTTACAGCTGTGTTTGAGCGGAACCAAACAAGCAGTGAGCAAATTATCTTGAAACAACAGCCCTTAGGCAGAAATCATTGAACTAAATTCCTCTGATGTTAAAAATATGAATATGGTACCACAATATCTCCTGGAATATTTAACAATTACATACGTTTATTTTAAGGGAGGCAAAGAGTCATGGCTAAATACCAGATATTTCTTGATTACATATAACACACAAGAATTCTACTTTTTGTCTTTCTTTAATGTTTATAATTAGCTTGAATATAGAAAATCAAAGCAATTCAAAGTTTGGGATTTAAAAGAAAATAAATTAGCTTGGTAGATACCTGAACAATAGATATCTCTGGCATTTCTCTATTTCAGGCCCTTCAAAATCTTTGAAAATGCTGCTAACATTCTTTCCTTCACCTACCAAAGAAACTACTTCTCTTTTCTCTCAGTCATAACATCCATTTATCAACTGACCAGAAATGGTGTTTGTTCGAGAATTAACCCCCACTAATTGAACCTCTAGGCCAGGTATGATCCTGACAGAGAGACTGTTCTCTTGACATTTCTTGCCTATGCCCTATCATGGTTTATGGGTTTATATGCTGAGGAAATGAGTCAATCCTAAGAATGAGTCAATCCTAAGAATGAGTCAATCCTAAGGATGATGGGATGTTCCAGACAACTTTATGTTTTTACTGGGAGTTCGTAAACTACAAAGAAAGAACTACCTAAGTTCCTGAGATTTTTTAAGAATTTTAGACCTGGCAGTAATGATTTTGAGAAATCAGTCTCTGCCAGTAAAGGTCATAAGAAAGAAAAAAAAATACACGTTTGATTCATTGAAAGCTCAGAAATACAATAGGAGACCTGAGTGACAAAGAACTCCTTTTTGTGCAGATGGCCCTGAAGTAAAGGAGTAACCATAATATTTATCATCCAAGCCTGAACTCTTTTGAGAGTGGAAATGTGATTAATAATTACCCTAGAACAATGGGTGAATTCCTTCTCTTTCTGACAAGCCAAGAAATATGATCATGCTACCTAAAGCAGCACAAAATAATAGAGATATAAAGTAAAGAGTCCCTAAATGAAAAAGCATCAACTATGGAATCAACTCTTGATTCCTCAATGGACTTTCTCCTGTGACACCATGTAAGGGCAGGACTGGGAACAGTGCAGGTTTTCTGATCCCATGCAGACCAGGTAAAGGAGGGGTCAGATTCCTCAGTGGCTTTTAGCAGGTCTTTTATTGGGGTTACCAGGTACATGGCAGGCAGGGATGCTGGGGGGCCGGGAGGCTGGCAGGCCTCCCAGCCCCCAGCAAGTCTTCACTCTATCTGGGCTCTCTGGCCTTCTCTGCTTCTCTCTCGGCTTTTGCTGGTGTCCCTGTGACACCATCCCTAAAAGCCCAGTCTCAGCCCAGGTGAATCCCATCTACCTATGCCCACACCCTACTCCAGGTGCCCCCATCAGGCATGCATTCAGGACCGCAAGGATCCATCATCTATCCTGATGGCGGGAGGGCAGAAAAGCCTGACACTTTTTACCTTACCCTTACACACCACCACAGGGATGAGCTTCTAGTTCAGCTTCTATGACGACGCCGTTAACTGTGCAATCCAAGTTCAGTTGGGTTATAGCACTCTCTCCTGTATTAGCAATAGTGTTACAGAGGGAGGTACCTCCCCTCTCCTCCAGGTGTTAGGTCTACAGGCCAAGGAATAGAGAATCAATAAGCATTTCAGATACGTGTCCAAGAGTCCTCAGGTAAGTGCTTACATAGGCAAAAGGGGTTGGGCTAGTTCTGCTTTATGCAAATGAGGTTTTCGGTCAGGGCATTTCTGATTGATAGAAACGTTGTGATTGGTTGAATTGCAATCCTGGATGTGGTTTGCTGGTGTGATTTTACCTGGTTCTCAGCTTGGGCTGTGTCATTGCACTTCCCAACATGCCTAGGCACATGGGCTTGGCTGGGGCCTGACTCCCAGCAGCCTCTGGTTGTTACC